GTTAGTTCTAGTTTTACACTAACACTATTACTATGTAGAACTAACACTATACACTATACCTAGAACTAGAATCATTTGCGTTTAGCCGCACGTCTCTAAAGACGGCTAAACCCGAATGAATCTAGTTCTAGGTATAGTGCTAGTTTCCGTTTTACACTTACACTATCACTAGAACTCACACTACATCTAGAACTAGAATCATTCGGGTTTAGCCGTACATCTCTAAAGATGGCTAAACCCGAAAATTTCTAGTTCTAGGTCTAGTGTTGGTTCTAGTTTTACACTTACACTATCACTAGAACTCACACTATACCTAGAACTAGAATCATTCGGGTTTAGCCGCACGTCTCTAAAGACGGCTAAACCCAAACGTTTCTAGTTCTAGGTATAGTGTTAGTTCTAGTTTTACACTTGTACTGTCACTACGGGTTAAATAACAGTTAAAAGTAGTTACACTTAAAAGTAGTTACGGGTTAAACTACGAGGAGGTAATGTCTTCCTCAAACAAACTGTTGACTGCTGCAAACGACTGGTGTGTGGCTAATGAACTATGTTTGAACAAAGACAAAACGGTTCAGACACTTTTCACCCTTAAACGGGACTGTGTGGGTGATTTCCCCCTTGCTAGATTGCTGGGCATAACGGTGAGCTCCAGAGATGTGAAATTTGATGTTCATGTGACTGAAATTGGTAAAAATCTCAAGAAACATTTTTCTACTACGTGGACTAATGAGCTCGGTATCTGTCGAGGTGGCCAAAACTGCCTATTATGCGCTGATACACTCGATGATTGACTATGGTATATTCTAACGCTTCCATCATTGTTTATTCTGAAATGTTTGCTAGATATTCATAGTAATGATGAACAGTATAAGACGCACGCCGACGTGCATAGTTACTTTACCAGAAACCGTACGAACATGTGCGTAGATTTTTCGGTTGAGTAGAACGCAGAAAGGTCATTTGTATACTGGTCAGATTTTGTATAATAAGTTACCGAAATCTATTAGGGCACGACAACACAAGCAATTTAAAACTGGTATAAAGAATTTCTTGATGTCGGTTGCGTTCTACTCAGTCGAGGAGTTTATAAGGAGTGATATTATCATTGTAAGAATGTATTTTTATTGTATTTTCTTCTCGGCTTCTGCGTCTGTATTTTGTTGTATATTCTGTTTAAAATGACGTGTGTAAGCCTTTGGCATAGAGCACTAATAAAGTTATTATTATTATGAATTTGAAACATTCTACTCATCGCTAGATCGTATTGTTTCCCATCTGTAGACTAGAACAGCTAAGCCCAAAATATCATAGGTTAATAAATCCTTCTGCTCTCAACACATTTTTTCATCCTTCTTGTACATGCATAAGATCTTTCGAACACTACTGTTAAAAAGACATACGACATCTTTGACATGAAAATCAATTAGTTTGTAATATGTAAGCAACATCAAGAGTTATACAACGACACTATTTGGGAGGTCTTTAATGCCGATGATTTTTGATCATCTTAATCCCTAGAATTGGGTTGGGTTAGATTAGGTTGAATTGGGTTGGGAAAACTGGCAAAAGACCTAAAATGGAATGAACATGTTGAAGCAAAAGTGAAGAAAGCAGAAAAAACAGTGCATGCTTTGCACAGAATCATGGGGTCCATCTTTGGTCCAGCAGCATCAAAAAGAAAGATAATCGGGTCGACTATTTATGCTCAATTACCATACGCATGCAGGACTTGGAAGGACGCGTGCGAAGTCAAGAAAAATCTAACAAAGATTACTAGGATACAAAAAGGAATTCTGATAAGAACATTGAGTGAATATAGAACTAGCTCAACGGAAGCGCTGCAAGTGGTAGGAAGCTCACTGGGGTGAGGGTTGAGTTGAGATGGGTTGGGTTAAGTTGAGTTGAGATGGGTTGGGTTGGGTTGAACTGTTAGCATTTGCTGTTAAGGTTGGTTTTACCTGGATCATGCTACTGCTATCATTGTCGTCTCAAGTGAAGTTTTACAATGACGGGGTCTCTCATGATGGGGTAATTTGCTTCAATGGCTTTTCTTGACAGCACTCGATTACTATTTTTTTAAGCCATCCACTTGGATGTTCGTGGTGAATCGCTAAACCGTACCGGTTTATAATGGCAGGAGCGAATGAATATCACGATCTAGTTCGGTTTTGAAACATCAAAATAACCGCGGAGTAATTAGTATTCATGTCTATTGCTTCTGTTATGTCTATCGTTTTTACTGAAATTTTTCAGCCGATAAAGAAGTCCTGCTAATCATGTAAACGTTATGACATCTGTATTTGGGTGAAAGAATTAAGTAACTTGGAAGTAATTGTTGATTTATGACAGTTTCTTAGTTACTACATCATTTGAAATATTTTCCCTAATAATTTCGCCAGTCAATAAAGTTCTTCCCAATGTAATAGAGGCTTTGCAAAGTTATATGATCGATAATGTTACAATATGATAACGTTATTATCATTATTAGGTGTGAAAAAGTTTACGGAGAAACCATTATTAGAAATAAGCATTTCGATTAAATTTATTGATATGAAGTCATTTTTAACACATAGCTTAAAAATTTAATTAAATTTCTATTACAAATTTATTTTTTGTTATTTTTATGTTATGGAAAACTTTTGTTTAAAATTTTTTCATCCTTTTGTGGTCATAAATATTTAACTAACAGATACAAAAAATTTGTCCATGCGTATCGCAAAATAAATCCGCACTAAATCTGCCGCTTAAAAACGATTCCATAAAATACGGTCATTTGTAAACATTTCCACGGTGTGATCCCGAGAGCGTGGCCGAGGCCCTCGTAAACACACAGATATAGCTAAGTTGTGTTTAAGGCAATAAAGAGTTTTGTTTTCGCGGCGGCGGCGGTTGCATCGTCCTTCCCGATCCGTAGCCAAGTCTTTAATTACTTTATCTGGGCCGGAACGTCGTAAACAACGGCTTTAGAATACACGTAAATTATAATTAACAAAGACGAAAAAGTCCACTAGCAATATGTCCGGATAACACCGCCGGCCGCCAAGGTAGGATTTGGTTGGCGAAGAGATGACGCCCTCTACCTACTACAAACTCTACCTATGTATTAATAATCGAAAAATTAAAAATAATATATTAAAAATCTGATGGGGCAAATTAAAATATTCTTCTTTGATATGCTAATCCACCGATTTAATTCTCTCATTAAATAAATTTCTTAATGTACCTTAAGGTATCTATTGTAGCCTACTGATTTACAATTTACGATGGATACTCTCTTCAAAGACGTGGGGCAAAGACCCGGAGGCTGAGTGTGGAGCAATTTTGAAGGAATTTAGATTAAAACGCGCTCAGAAGAACGCCCACTCATCTAACGCTAACTTAATTTTAAGCTTTACTAGATCGCTACTTATCTCTTTTGGACTCTTTCTTGACGTCAACTTGAAATGAAAGAGTATCATCAGTTTTATTGCTTTTTTATTGTCTTTTTTTTTAGTTTTCTTGGTAGTTTACTTTTTGTAAAAGAGTAAGTTGAAGGTCGCTATTACACGTCCTACAATGCGGCAGTTCATCACAGCATGCGATCGAGCTGGTCGCTGACGTACTACACGCAGATGGTAATTTGAAATTTAATACCGAGCTCGACGCCTACAACGATGATAATTGAACGGGAACGCTGGACACACCGCTATAAATACCAACGTGGGAGAGACCGAGATGCCGACGATATTTAATGGCAAAAGTTGTCGGGTTTTTAAAAGGATCCTTCTAGGAACTAAAATTATAATTATTGTATGCATACTATAAAAATGTTAAGAATTCATTTCATAAGATTTTTCAATCACGTTGCAATAAACTAAGTCACGTCAAACAAAAAAATCACCAACACACATAGGTATAAGAATGATGTGTTTACTTTGAAAACATCTTGAAACGAGTGGAATAATAGATGAGGTACAGTAACCTGCGTGTTGTTGGTCGACCTTAAACGTGAGGTCAGCCGTCTTTAGCCCGAAACGTTCGAACGCCCGAGGGCAAAGAAGAAGTTAACCAGAATGGGGGGCACTTATGAAAATAGTAGTGAACAATTTCGGAAGCCTCGCGGGACGCTAATTTCTGTTAAATTGCAGAGATCACGCATTCAAGCCCGTTCTTCTTCTTCTTCGAACGTGTCGAAAAACGAAAACTCCCACTTCAAACAGCACCTGCTACCCGGATTTTGCTCCCGTTTAGAACAGAAGCAGAGTAAAGTTACTCTCGTACCGAGGNAGAAGAAGAGGAAGTTTGAACGGGGGAGTAGTAAATGCAGAAGCGTGCTTCCATTTCCGGGAGGAAGAAGGGGAGCAATCCCCTCCAACCGGGTAAGAGTAAAAACTTTAATATTTCAAAAAGTAAGATCTTTTATGTTTCCCAACGGACGATGAGAGACCAGGGAAGAGGTGGAAGGAAGAGGAAGAAGAAGGAGTTTGAGTGGAGGAGTAGGAGGTGGAGAGACGTGTTTCCATTTCCGGGAGGAAGAAGGGGAGCAATCCCCTCCATCCGGGTAAGAGTAAAATTTTTAACTTTTCAAAAAGTAAGACCTCTTATGTGTCCAAACGGGGGGAGAGAAATCGTGGAAGAAGCGGAAGGAAGTATTGACTGATTGACCAGTCGAGGAGATAGAGGAAGAAAAGGGGGGAGATGAAGGGATCTTCAACGAGAGGAAGAATTCTGATGCTTTAAGAAAGGTATGAGGGAGATAAAGAGATAGAGAGGAGAAGGAGTAAAAAGAGAGGAAGGAATCTTATTTCGAACCTGGGAAGAAGAATTCCAATATAAAGCCCGAAGAAATGCCCGAGAGGGCGGTTCCGGGCAGAGGAAAGGGGTTTTTAGTGGGTCGGAGTCTCACAGATGAGCTCCAACCCCACACTATCCGGCCGTTCGAGACCGTTAGGCCGGATGTCTGATAACAGATTTTCCCAGACCTCTAAAAAAAAAAAAAAGGGTTGGGTTGGGTTGGGTTGGGTTGATTCAGTACCATGGGGGAAGATAATGGAAGCGTTGGAGGCAGGAGAACTCTCAAGAGAAATAAAAAGAATAGCAAGATAATACTTCCAGGGGGAAGAGAAGAGAATATGACGTGTGGTGTACCTCAAGGTTCCGTTATGGCAGTGACGAATGGAATATCTTCTATGATAGTGTTGAAATTGGAAGAGGGCGCATTTATTATTACGTACGCAGACGATTAGCAATGATAGTAAGCCTGGCGTATAGGAACTTGTCACGCTTAATTCCGAAATAGGGGGTCCGAAATTGGCAAGAAGAAGACTGCTGGGAACAGTGGTGAGATCCATAACCCTGTATGCAGCGCAAGGGTGTGAGATAGCTATGATACATAAAAATATGCAAGAATGATAAGAATGAATAGAGAGATCTTCCATTGGCGTATAGAACGGTTTCTACGAAGGCTGCAGGCACACAGGGGGGCATCCCCCAATGGATTTGTTGGCAGGAATTGTGGAGGAGATATACAGGATACGAGAAGAAAAGAGAACAAGTATTGAATTGATGATCCAAATAAATAACCTGAGTTTACATTCTTGTCTCAATATTCTCTTTAATTTCGCTACGTTGCTACGAAGTGTATCAGCTTGTAATATGATTTCTATTCCAAGTAGCTAAGGTTTAAAAATATTTCGAAATGAAATAGAAAAATCTCTAATGTACATTTTTATTAATTAATTCCGTCGTTGTTGCATAAAACCTAGTTCTTTTTCTCCACGAAGTACTCCTTTTTTTGCTTAATTCCAATTTTCGAATTTCATTTCTAATCCAAGTGTAATAATAAGAAGTCCCATAAAATAATTGAGGCAATGAATTTTTACAAAAATCATCATTATAATCTATAATCCCAACTTGCACAATACGATTATTGTCGCCGATTAAAAGCGGCCCTCCCGTTCCCCCCTCGCAATAATCCCCTGATTTTAAAGAAACGCAAAAATAATAATCTTCGATTATCTTTTTATGAAGCGTTTTGCAATCTTCTTTGGCTAAAATATTCACGTTTAAATCTGTTAAGATACTTGGATTAATTTCTTGTAATTTTTCTTGATCGTCTTCGAGTTCTGGTTTTTTCCAAACAGCGACTTTTCCTTGAATTAATTTATTAAAATTAGCTGTAAAAGCGTCTAATTTAACAACGTTTACTTTCGCATCTAAAATTAAAGGGGTTTCCAAAACTAAAATAGCGATATCGAATTTTTTTTCGGTTTCGTTGGAATGGTGATAAAAGTTTTCGTGGGTGACGCATTTTGAAACGTATCGGCGCCTTTCCACGTCCCATTTTGGAGTTCCGGTGATAACCATTAAATTTTTTGGTTCGATTAACATTGAATTTTCGAAACAACAATTTGCTTGTGTTAAAATGTGACTTTGTGAAATGATTGTTCCGGCACACTTAAATGTTCCTCTTAAAATTATCGCAACCACGAATGTTGAAGTTGATGAGGTCGCGTTTTGTGACGAACAAATTATTATTAAATGTGTCAAAATTAAAGTTGTTTTGATTACTTTTGACATGATACAATTAATCGTTCAAAATTAATCGTTCAAAATTATCCCCCAATGAGTAAAACTCGCCTTTACGAAATTCTTGCTGATATTGTAATATTTTGTTGTTGCTTTTGCGTGCAGGATCACTCAAAATACAATCATCATTTCCAATGATTACAACTACAATCAGAAAAATGAGGCCTTAAAAATTATATCGATGTTGTAAAAACGTAATAAAAATTTTATTTATTTATTATCATTTTTTTTCTTAACAATGCTCAACTCCAATTCTTTCCCCTCAAATTTATTCCGCGTTATGAAACGAAACGAGATATTAAAGAAGTAATTACAAAAATTTCATTTTGGGACATCTTGGCTTTGCCATTTATTAAATTGATTAAGTTAAATCCAAATTTAATTGGGTTGAATGAAAAGTTGAGCTGTTTAACCGCAGGATGGGGATACGGGATGTTGATGATCTTAATAAGAATCAAAAATGCTTTAATTTGACACCAAACGCGATATATTTGGGTTAAAAAATAAAAAAGTTAGGTTAAAAACTATCGAATGTCAAAATTAAATATAACAATTTTTGATGAATATTGAAATGATCTTAATAAGGATGAAAAATGCTTTAATTTGATACCAAACTTGATATATTTGGGTTAAATAATAAAAAAGTTAAGTTACAAACTGTCAAATGTCAAAATTAAATATAACGATTTTTGATAATAATTAAAGCGATCTTAATAAGGATCAAAAATGCTTTAATTTGATACCAAACTTGATATATTTGGGTTAAATAATAAAAAAAGTTAGGTTAGAAACTGTCAAATGTCAAAATTAAATATAACGATTTTTGATAATTATTAAAATGATCTTAATAAGAATCAAAAATGCTTTAATTTGATACCAAATTTGATATATTTGGGTTAAATAATAAAAAAGTTAGGTTAGAAACTGTCAAATGTCAAAATTAAATATAACGATTTTTGATAATTATTAAAGCGATCTTAATAAGAATCAAAAATGCTTTAATTTGATACCAAACATGATATATTTGGGTTAAAAAAATAAAAAGGTTAGGTTAGAAACTGTCAACTGTCAAACAATCGCCATTTTTTTTGCAAAAAATTAAGATATCTCGTTAACGGTTGGAGATAAATGGGTCGAGTTTGGGTTCATTTTAAAGAACTTTTAATTTTCTATCCATTTATATTAAAAAAAGAATACCTTTATAACTAAAAAATTTTTCTACTCGTCCGAGTTCGGTTCGCAGGTATCTGCGATTTTATTGAAACTAGTAAAGTATTAGATTGAGAAGTACAAGGAAGAAATTAAAGATGATATTACACAATAAAATTATTTAGGCTGCGCTGAAACATGTCAGGGATGATATTTAGAGAGGGAGGAATAATCTACTAATAATAATGACGATGTTTTGGAAGGCATCAAAGACAACATTGCAAAAAGTAAGGAGAAACTATGTTAACCTATGTCAGGGACAATGTTGAAAGATGATAGATAGTCAAGGTTGTTGTTTTGAGATATCAGAGCTGATTTAGGGATCAACATCGAAAGAAGTTAGAGTCTATATTGAACGATGTCAGGAACGATTTTGTGCGATATCACAGATAACATTTATTAAACGAGAGATTGAAGACATCGAAGGATATGCGAAACAACTTTGATTGAAATTAGCAACTGGAGAATATATGTCGTGGAACAAAAATGAAGTAATTTTAGGAGGACCATTCTGAAAGTATGTGGAATATGGAGAGGGAAAGTGTGAAAAACACCAGATGGTGAAATGATGAGATTAGGGCAGCAGTAGCAGAGAAGAAGGCAATGGAAGAAGACAAGACAACCAGTGTATGAAGAGACCAAAAGAAATTGTTAGGAAGAATTTGCAGAAAACCTGTAAAGAAGCTTTTGTTAAGATAATAGATAATTTTGGAAGGTAAGGAGCATAAAAGACAATAAGGATAATAATATAAGAACGAGAAGAACCGGAAACGGCGGGAGGGAAATAAATGCAGGAGAGAGGGAACTGGGGAGGACAAAATAGTACCAGAAATAGTGAAGGCAGGAGGCACGGTATTGGCCGAAGAAATTAAATAACTATCAGACGGTATGGAGACTAGGGCGGACAACAGCAGATTCGCAAAGAAACATAATCATCGCTATATACAAGAAAAGGGATACTACACATCATTAATAATTGCAAAACTGTACTTCACAATCCTGGAGGGGCGCTAAAGGATTTGCATTGCCTGCATTCCCTGCGCTCTATAACTGATAAGTGGATCAGCAGAGGGAAATCTGCATACCTGGCTTTCTTGGATATGCATTCTGCGTTTGATGAGGTATCAAGGCAAGAGGTCTGAAAATTACTAGAGAAGAAAGAAATTAATCCAAGCCATCAGGTCCTTTTACAGATCCTTTTAGCATGTTTGTTATGCAAAAAGGGCAGTCCCCATTATACATTTATGGATGAAGTGGTGAAGACATACAAGAGAAGAACAGAAACTTCAGAAACCTAAAACTGATCTAGGGTCCGATGAGGGTTTAGACTATAAGATCTTACTTTTTCCCTACGCTCTATAACTGATAAGTGGATGATCAGAGAGAAATCTGCGTTTGATGAGCTACCAAGGCAAGATGTCTGGAAAATACTAGAGAAGAAGAGAGCTCCATGATCCAGCAAGGGATGACTTCTATCATGTTCGTTATGCAAAAAGGGCAGTTTATCCCCATTGTTATTTCTACATATATGATGAAGATATACATTTATGATAATGATCTCACTTTTTCCATGCCCTCTATAACTTAGAAGTGGCTCAGCAGAAGGAAATCTGCATACCTAGCTTTCTTAGATATGCATTCTGCGTTTGATGAGGTATCAAGGCAAGAGGTCTGAAAATTACTAGAGAAGAAAGGGACTCCCCCACAACGAATGCAGGCCATTAGCTCCATGATCCAGCGAGGGAAGACTTCTAGCATGTTCGTTATGCAAAAAGAACAGTTTATCCCCATTGTTATTTGTACATTTATTGATGAAGTGGCGAAGACATGCAAGAGAAGTACAGAATCTTCAAAAACCTAAAACTGATCTAGGGCCCGATGAGGGTTTAGACTATAAGATCTTACTTTTTCCCTACGCTCTATAACTGATAAGTGGATGATCAGAGGGAAATCTGCGTTTGATGAGGTACCAAGGCAAGATGTCTGGAAAATAATATAATCATATCATAAATACCTAATAACCCCATAACCCTGTGTGCAGCGCAAGCGTGTGAGATAGCTATGATACATAAAAGATATGCAAGAATAATAAGGATGAACAAAGAGGCGAAGGCTGCAGGCACACTGGCAGGGCATCATGGAACTGTTAAAAAGATTTCTAAGATCTCACTTTTTCCCTGCGCTCTATAACTCATAAGTGGATGATCAGAGGGAAATCTGGGTTTGATGATGTACCAAGGCAAGATGTTTGGAAAATACTAGAGAAGAAAGGGACTTCCTCACAACTAATCCAGGCCATCAGGTCCATGATCCAGCAAAGGAAGAACTCTAGTATGTTCGTCGTACAAATAGGACAGTTTACCCCCATTGTTATTTGTACAGGGTGTCCAAATTTCGACGGGTTTGCAGGGTATCTTAGTTATTATGAAAGATAGAAAGTTAGGGCTTTCCCCAATCTCTTTGTATTTGATATACAGGGAGTGTTTCAAAATTTACGATTTTCAGACACCTCCTGTATCTCGGCTATCCGGAAACGTAAAAACGGGTTCTAATAGATTCTTTCACGTAGAATCCAATGGTGTACGTAAAATTTTTCTGGTCATCACGGTTTTTGAGTTATAAAGAATTAAGTATTTTAGAAGTTGAGTATTCAGTATTTGATTTGTGTTTATAACTCAAAAACCGTGATGACTAGAAAAATTCTACGTGCACCATTGGATTCCACGTGAAAAAATCTATTTGAATCCGTTTTTACTTCTTTACTAAGTTTCCGGATTGCCGAGACACAGGAGGTGTCTGAAAATCGTAAATTTCAAATACTCCCTGTATATCAAAAACGAAGAGGGCTATGAAAATTTGGTTTACGCCATTGTAAGTTTTACAAAAAAGTAGCTTAGGTTTGCGAAAGCCGCAACTTTCTATCTTTCATAATAACTGAGATACCCATCGAAATTTGGACACCTGTACATTTATGTATGAAGTTGTGAAGACATGTAAAAGAAGAACAGAAACTTCAAAAACCTAAAACTGATCTAGGGTCCGATGAGGGTTTAGACTATAAGATCTTACTTTTTCCCTACGCTCTATAACTGATAAGTGGATGATCAGAGAGAAATCTGCGTTTGATGAGGTACCAAGGCAAGATGTCTGGAAAATACTAGAGAAGAAAAGGACTCCCCTATAACGAATGCAGGCCATCAGCTCCATGATCCAGCAAGGGAAGACTTTTAGCATGTTCGTTATGCAAAAAGTGCAGTTTATCCCCATTGTTATTTGTACATTTCTTGATGACGTGGTGAAGACATGCAAGAGAAAAACAGAAACTTCAGAAACCTAAGACTGATTTAGGGCCTGATGAGGGTTTAGAATATAAGATCTCACATTTTTCCTACGCTCTATGACTGATAAGGGGATGATCAGAGAGAAATCTGCGTTTGATGAAGGACCAAGGCAAGATGTTTGGAAAATACTAGAGAAGAAAGGGAATCCCTCACAACGAATGCAGGACATTAGCTCCATAATCCAGCACGGGAAGACTTCTAGTATGTTCGTTATGCAGAAAGGGCAGTTTATCCCTATTGTTATTTGTACATTTATGGATGAAGTGGTGAATACATGCAAGAGAAGAACAGAAATTTCAGAAACCTAAGACTGATTTAGGGCCTGATGAGGGTTTAGACTTAGATCTCACATTTTTCCTACGCTCTATGACTGATAAGGGGATGATCAGAGAGAAATCT